CAAACTATAGGAAAATATAGGAGCAATAAAGAAGGCTAAATAGATTTTTTTTGAAACTAGGCTAAATAGACTTTTTAGAACTAATTTTGCTTTTCTTTTAGTGGATTAGAGCTAATTTTGGTGAGTACGCCTCCTGATGGTGTCGCCGTGCCGAGCCTCCTAATTAATTTGCTGCCTAAAAATTCAGCCTTTTCTCAGACCTGGCCTAGAAATGTAGCCTCAGCAAAGGCCCAGACTGTTTTGAGCTTTTCCTTTCCAGGCCGTGCCACCTACGTCTAGACAGGCCACAAAATTGGGCCTATACGCTGCTTCGGTCCTTTTAGGCCTTTTGCCCGTTTTTAGGTCGTGCGAACCACTAGCTGGGCTCCATCTTGTCTGGCGCCTCGTCGGTTGCTACTTGCTAGCAGAAAAAACGACATCTTTAAAATTTGATATCTTATTCAAACCATTTAAATCACCTTCTCGAGCGATTGTTAAGGTGTTTTTATCTCTTTTAGTTAAAATTTCAGTGCTGGGTCATTTCTATAATGAGGGCGAGGAGTTTGTTTCTAGCTCTGTGCCAGACAATATCTCTGTAATTGTTGCTAACGATTTGTTAGCCAATGAGTAATGAATCGATACCCAGTTTAAAAAAAAATCTGGTAAATAGATAACAAGATTTTTAACAAACCATAAAAAATGTCTCTAAGCCTCTAAAATTTTTGAGAAAAAACCTAGATTAGGATAAAAACACACATATAAAATCTCAAAAAAAAAATCTCTAGGAGCTACCAAAAAAATTAGGTCTAGTAAAATGGAAAACTATCTAGAAAAATTAAAAAGTCCCAAAACATTATAATTGATGTATAAATATGTTTTAAAATTTTCACAAAAAATATGAGATGGAACTAGCAAGGATGCAACATACATTTAATGTAGAATACATTTAGCAAGACGGGAGATTTTTCTAGATACTTTTTCCTATTTTTCTAGAAATAAATCTAATATTGGAAGCTTTTAGATATATTTATATTAGTTCCAAATATATATTATTTAGATTTTTCATGTCTCAGTCTATCTGTATGTTTTTTTTCTTGGTATTTTTAGAAGCTTAGAGACATTTTTGTGGTTTAAATATCTTATATGATATTTTTGGAGCTTTTAAACTAAAAAACATGATAACACCCTGGGCTAGGAGGTAATTTGAATAGTAGTTTTAAAAGTTGAGTAGGTAAGATGTATGGTTTTAGGATTCAATATAAAAAGGAAAAACTAGATGATAATGATAGTTTATCAAGGTAAAGTGAACATTTTCTAATTGCTATACTCCTATACACGTTTTTTGAGTGGATCACTGTCTTTATTCATTCAACGAAATATAGTTACAAATGCCATCGGGCTGTGGGCTAAGGGAGAGAGAGCGTCTTCCTTGTTTTTTTTTTCTCCACATGGGCCATGTCTTGTTTTGCTTGGCCGCCTTAGTGTCTCACGTAAACAATGTGCTCGCAGCGGCTTATGGCAGCCGCAGCAGCTTTTTCTTTTTTCTTTTTTCTTATTTTAGTTTTTATCAGCAAAAAAATATTTTTTTGTGAAGTTAGAACGCTTTTTTTATTTAATACTATAAAATGAGCAGGGTATATGCTTTTTGAAGTAATCTAGACAAATGATCATAGGTGCTGGTGGAGTTTTGGCTGACTAGAAGGAGCGGCTAGGCCCCTATCATTGGTAGAACTGTAGAAGGAGCTGACTGCTGTTCGACTGATAGTTTTTACGGTTGATAAACAGGCTGATGCTGTTTTGTTATGAGAGAAAACACTATACCATGACTGATAAGCCGACCTGATAAGTTCAAGCGAACAGGTAAAGTGAAAATTGTTCCCCTGTAAAAGAAAATTGTTAAAGCCCGATGAGAAATGTTATCCCGTTATGCTGGAATATTTTTCTTTTCCGTCCGAAACAATTTCTTCTAAACATAGAACATGTCTCATGAATCTAATATAATGTTTCAATAAAAAATATTCTCGCTTCAAGAGAAAATTGATATAGGTTTCAAAAATATTCTGCCATGACCCATTAATTCTTGGTCATTCTGTAATTGCTGATGATTCAGCTATGTTTGAGTAATGAAAATCCCCTATTTTCCCTAAAAAAATAAACTCATTGGAAACCCCATGCGCCAAAGGTACTGGATTTGACAAAACTCCTAACAGGTATAATAATAAGCCACCTCAGCAAAATCCTAGGTGAAAGAAAGAGAGTAAATCGGTTGACTCTTTCGTCGACAGTCTTATCACGCAAGCCAAGACAGCAAGCGCCGAGCACGCGACTGGTTGGCGCCAAGCTAGGCGCCTCCGCATGCGTTTGTGGACCCACGGCCGCACATGGCCATTGCCCAGCCTCGCCCATGCCGCATAAAGTGAGATGAGTTTGGAGAACAAGCAGACAAAGGAAGGACGGGCACAAGTGCTGGGCCTCACATAAATAAAAAATATGTCTTCGAAATTTGTGAAGAGACTAATTGTTGTATAAGTAGTCTTTTAAGCTAGTCTTAAGGTGACATGGTTGAGCTATTAGACAAGTTTATTGGTCTTGCTCTAAGGCCCTGTTCGTTCCCAGGAATGACTCATATGCAGAATTCCTAGCCTGAATTGTTAGTTAATTTATATAAGCTTTCATTAGCTGAAATGATTCCTGATGTCATTCTACCATAACTGAACGAGCCCTAAATGAAACTAGACTGGAGGGAGTATTTAGTAAAATCTTTAGCCTTCACTATAATGGTGATACAATGTGTTTCTTTAGTCACCCGAGGCGCATGTACTCAACTTACCTTCATATATATGATCGGCTGTACTTTTCAGAAATCTTAGCCTCTTAGTCGCTTTTGGCTTTATGCTTTTTAGGAGATTTTAGAAGACTGCCTAAAACTTTTAGGAACTAAAGTTTTAGAAGCTCGGAACCAAACAGGGCCTTAGCCTTTCACTGGTGGTGATACAGTGTATTTCTATGTACCGAGGCGCATGTACTAACTTGCTCAGCATATATGATCGGCTGTACTTTTAGAAATCTTAGCCTCTTCGCTGTGGCTTTAGGCCTTGTCAGCTTCGCTAAAAAGACAAACTGAAAAGTATTGTTCGTTGATTCGTTGTGAGAGAAAAACACTGTTGTTTACTGAAAAAGTACGGACCATATGCAGCCGCTGCAACTGCTTGTAGTTATTTTGGCTGCGGTATGTATTATTACATGAACTAAAAGCCTGCAGCTGCAGCGGTTTAAAGCCGGAGCGAAGATTTAGTAGTACCAGATGACATCAAGGCCTGCAGGTGCTCTAACACGTTCACACGTGGCACGCTCGCTAGAAACACATCACAGGTCTAGGCGTCTGGAGTTTGGTTGAGGCCTTGAGGGTTCAGCGTCGTGAGAGAGAGCCGGCCGGCCTCTCATCCACACACCGTCGAAACCGGTTTCTTTCAGAACTTGATATAAAGAACCGTCTGCACTAGTCCGTATACATGGCGCAGGAGTTCTGCCTAGAGTAAAAGTAATCTCCCCAAGATATTTAAAACCATTCCTACATTTTTTTTCTTTTCGCTAAAATTTAGCTGCTGCTAATATTAATTTACTGTGAGAGAAAAACACTATTTATTCGCTGCAGTATTGAAGTAGAGAGGTGCAAAAACAGTTTCGCTTTCTCGCTGCCAAGCTGATGGTGATACTCCTCATTTATTCATCATTCGTGCATGTACCCTCCTAATTGCTTTAGCCACCACTTCTCTCCTTTTTTCTTCCTCGCATGTGTCTTCTGCCGACCGTGGCCGCCCATAGTCAAGCAGTACGGTGCCGGGGCAATGAAAAAACCCAGAAATCGGATGACATGGCACCAATTTCATTTTCTTTAGAACAAAATATTGAAAATTATTGGAGCAAGGCACAAAATTGGCTTCAAACTCATTTTGCCGCGTTGCTAAACTCATGGTTTTGCAACTCTTTTTTTTTTGAACAGCTCTTTATTTTACAAGGTCCCTAGAAAATGGGCAATGAAACAGACACCTGATTCAAGAAATTCATCGCCCGATAGCTCTGTACCACATATTCATATGGCGGTTCGTACCAATCGGTAGGAACCTAAACATAGCGCGGAAAACAACTCCAGCTCGCGCTTGCACGCAAAAATTGAAAATATATATACTATCATAATGATGTTAATATCTGGGGATATTGGCAACGTCATGCATGATATACACAAGTTGCTTGGTCAGAACTCAGAAGTCCATTATAAAGATATAACCATCACTGTCACCGTAACGAACAGGGCACTGCAACTGGTAGGCGGCTAACAGCTCTGGCCCCTGCCTGTACAGCTAGCAATGCTCAAGTGAGTCTCAACACGATAACACGTCCCCCTCCCAAAAGGATGGTCATATCCTCGTTGAATAAACAATAGGCTGATATACCAAATCATTCTTGATTTCTCACTCATGAAAGAACGCCCAAGAAAACAAATATACCATCACAAATATGATGATGTTGACAAATATGCGTAGCTTGTCGGTTGACCCCAACAAACTTCTGTTGCCAGTTCGAACGGCCGGCATCTGATTGATAGCCCAGTGATATCAAAACTATATATTATATAAGAGGAATTGAAGGGCCAAGATATTTCGTTGAAGCGAAACACCTCAAAATGGATAAAAGGTAAACAGATTTATTTGCATTCAGAGCTCAGTCAATCCAGCCCATCAACCTTAAAAGAAGAGGGGCTTAAAAAAATTACATAATTCTGTCACATTCATCCCTTTCTATTTTCTCTAAGTTGCCATGAATGACACGTTAGATAATCAGTGTGAAGAAATACCTACTGTTCCTGGCTCAGGCGTACAAGTTGCAGCATCCGTTAACGTTTTGACTTCCCGAAGGCGGCCGGCATCACAGAAAGTGGGTACTGAAACAAGGCAAGATAAATTCAAGATCCATCATAAATGGAGGAACCATACCATGCCTCAAGAGTAAGACCCCGAAACATGGCCAGGTTCCTCTCTCTATTCCTTCTTCCCTTGCTCACCCTTCTTCCATCCTCACATGCTTCACCCCAGCAGATGCTATACACTGGTTCATCCTCATTGGTAGAAGACTACAAACAAAGTTTCCTTACCTCACCCAATGCTGATTTCTCCTGTGGCTTCTATGAAGTTGGAGGGAATGCTTTCTCCTTCTCTATCTGGTTCACCAACACCATGGAAAAGACAGTCGTGTGGTCTGCAAACCCCAAGTCCCCGGTGAACGGCCGTGGCTCCATGGTTTCGCTCAACCATGGTGGCAACTTGGTCCTCACTGATGTCAATGGCACCGTGACATGGGACAGCAAGACAAGTTCTGGTAGGGGCACAACAGTTGCCCTTCTTGATACGGGCAACCTTGTCATCAGAGACTCCAACGGTGCAGTTCTATGGGAAAGCTTTTCTTCACCAACTGATACCTTGCTGCCTTTTCAGCAGCTCACCAAAGCAACACGGTTAGTCTCTGGTTACTATAGCCTGTATTTCGACAACGACAATGTGCTGCGCCTCATGTATGATGGACCAGATATATCAAGCATCTATTGGCCAAGTGCAGACTACAGTGTGTTCCAAAATGGGCGAACAAATTACAATAGCACAAGGGTTGCGGTCCTCGACGCTGAAGGTTATTTCCTCTCAAGTGATGGGCTGAACATAAAGTCATCTGATTGGGGTACTGTAATCAAGAGAAGGCTTACAGTTGATTATGATGGAAACCTTAGAATGTACAGCTTGAATGCATCTAGTGGGAACTGGATAATCTCATGGGAGGCCATAGCAAAAATGTGCGACGTGCATGGGTTATGTGGACAAAATGGGATATGCCAGTCCTCGCCCAGATTTCATTGCTCATGTCCACCAGGACATGAGATGATTGATCCACATACTTGGAACAAAGGTTGTCGGCCACAATTCAGCAAAAGCTGCAACAACACAGAAGAGTTTGAGTTCATCAAGCTCCCTCGAACTGACTTTTATGGCTTCGATCTGACCTTCAACCAGTCCGTCTCACTTGAAGAATGCAGGCAAATTTGCTTGGATGCCTGCTCCTGCTCTGCTTTCACATACAAGAAGGGACCTGGATTTTGCTATACTAAAGCTGTTCTCTTCAATGGGTATAGCAACCCAAGCTTTCCTGGTGACAACTATATAAAACTACCCAAGAATTTGGGCATATCGACATCCTTAGTCTCCAGAAAGTCTCATCTCATGTGCAACCGGAATATTCCTGAAATTATAGAAGGATCTGCAAGTATGTACGGCATGAACAGTGTCGATAAAAATTGGACAACTTATTATGTGTTTGCAGCAATACTGGGAGCCCTAGTACTGCTCTTTACTGGTACAAGTTGGTGGTTTCTTTCCAGCAAGCAAAACATTCCCAAGTCAATGGAGGCAGGCTACAGGATGGTAACAAGCCAATTCAGGATGTTCACACACCGCGAGTTAAGGGAAGCAACTGGGAAGTTCAAGGAGGAGATTGGAAGAGGGGGCTCTGGAATTGTTTACAGAGGAGTACTTGAAGATAAGCGAGTAGTGGCAGTGAAGAAGCTAACAAACTTCTCACACAGTGAGGAGGAATTGTGGGCAGAAATGAGTATAATTGGAAGGATTAACCACATGAATTTAGTAAGGATGTGGGGGTTTTGTTCTGAGGGTCAACATAAACTACTAGTGTATGAGTATGTGGAGAATGAATCACTTGACAGGTATCTATTTGGTAATGTAAGTAGTGAGAGACTAATTGCATGGAGCCAACGATTCAAAATAGCTTTGGGAACAGCAAGAGGCTTGGCCTATCTCCATCATGAGTGCCTTGAGTGGGTGATCCACTGTGATGTAAAACCAGAGAACATACTACTGACCCGAGATTTTGAAGCTAAGATAGCAGACTTTGGACTAGCCAAACTCTCAAAGAGAGGCAGCTCAAGTTTCAAGCTCACACACATGAGAGGAACAATGGGGTACATGGCCCCAGAGTGGGCGTTAAACTTGCCGATCAACGCAAAAGTTGATGTCTACAGTTATGGTGTTGTCCTTCTTGAGATTTTGACAGGTACTAGGATATCAAGTGGGATAACTGTCGATGGGATGGAAATCGAACTTAGACAGTTTGTGCAGGTCTTGAAGCAATTTCTGGAGAGTGGAGATGTGAAGGATATAGTTGATCATAGACTGCAAGGTCATTTCAATCCTGAGCAAGCAATGGTAATGTTACAAGTTGCTATAGCTTGTCTTGAAGAAAGAAATAGCAGGCCTACAATGAACGATATTGTAAAAGAGCTCTTGGCATGTGCTGACCAAGATGATCACCCGGCCTACTCATGGTGAGTTGCAATAAGCAATCCTGTTTTGGTTTGCAAAATGAAGAATTGAATTCTCGAGTAGTATTCAAATTAAGGAGTATTTGCTAGAGAAAATGTGTCAGTCCTTTTGTTGTATGAATCCTTCTATGGACAAATTCAGATCCTTCAATTGCAATGGTTCAATGGAACCCTGAAGCATTTTTTTTTACTTCGCACTTCTGGTAAATATTACCATGGGTTGATCAGTTGGGTCTTTATGCACAAAGCTTCATATTTAGTTTGACTATATACAGTGGCGGATATACAAACCAGGCGCACGGGGTGGGGGGGGGGGGGGGTGGGGTGCCTAAATAATAGAAGGCAAGAAATCTTACTAGCCCTACACTAGTAGATGCAATAGATATGACAAATAACACAATCTTATAGGTTTGACACAAGGGATAAAATCATGTATTGCTTCTATTATTGCAAGTTATAAGCTTTGCCGGCAAGCTGCTCCTGTTGCAGAAGTTCAGAGCTCATAACCGAGCTTGAGGTCCCATGTTCATCAAATAATTTCTCCTAAATTCACATGTACATTATTCAATCTATTTTAAGCAATGTGTTCTGGACATAAATGTCTACAGATCTTGTAGGACATGGATCAAAATCTACACGGTTTCGAAGTTGCAGAGCTCAAATACAACTAAAAACACTGTAAATTTGGTACCAAATTCAGAGTTCAATCTTCAGCTGTTTAAGAGATTCAAGCTGACGGATTTTAATATAACTCAGTATCTCACTGTTGAAGCTGATATGTTCAACGATCTAAATATGATCTAAAATATCATGATTTCATATGTGAACGACTCAATCGGTCTTAAGCTAAACTATTCCAGTGTTCCAAAGAAATCATGGCCGCGGGCAGAGTAAAAAAACTACTTACGTAGCAGTCAGCAATGCCTGTAGCAAGCAGCAGGCAGCAGGGCGCCGCGGGGACGGGCCGGCCAGCCGGCCGCACGCGGGCGGCGGGCGGATTGGAGGCCAGTCGCGCGGCTGCTGGTCGGGGCGCGGATGCTCGGTCGCGGTCTCGCGGAAGCCGGACTGCCGGAGGCGGAGTAGTAGAGATGAGCGGCCGGGCGGCTGCCTGTTGGAGCGCTCAGAATTCGGCCGCCGTTCGGGAGTTCCTCCGAGTCGGGAGCTGGAGAGGCGACGTGCAAGATTCAGCGGCCTGCGGGGCTGGTGGGCTGGTGGGCTGGAAGGCTGCGCGTCGGGGAGGGCTGGTGGGCTGGCTCTGAAGTGCTACCCCTTATAATTTTGGGCCGCGCCCCGGGCTGCAGCCGCCCCAGCCCGGGCCGCGAATCCGTCCTATACCTCGTGGTGTCGCAGCTCGTGAATTTTTCTCGTGGAACCACGTGGTCCGTATCATATCTAGGTGCTAAAGAACGACCACGGATGAATGGATGATATGATATAACCCAAACCAAAGACATGGTAGCTTCGGTACAAGGTTTTCGTTACGAGGGCAGGTTTGCCTCACGAGGGCATGCAGAATCATCCAATCCTAGTACCGAAGCTAGCCCAAGTGTTTGGTTTGGGTCATGTCATCGATTCATCCGTCATGAGTCGTTCTATGTAGCACCTACGGATACGGACCATATGGTTCCGCGAGAAAGGTTCGGACGAGCCCATGCTAGACCATTCTATGCTGCATGACTTGGATATCCAAACCAGAGGTGGAACCCGGGGGCTAGCAGGGGCGGTGCCCCCCCCCCACAGTACAAAAAAATATTAATACCCCTATAAATATTTATTAAATATTTATTTTTAAGCATAACAATGTATCAAATTAGCTATTTTTATGATAACCTTGTGATTTTTCTTTATAAATACTAACTACATATGGAAAAATATTAATTTTTTTTAAGAAATATGTTTAGGCATATATTTATCACATTTAGACATGTCATCATATTTACCCGGCCCCCTTAATCAAAATGGCTAGGCCTCTGATCCAAACCAAATTCCTTGCTTGATCGCGCCGCTGCACTGGGCAGATCCCCGCTCGTGACGCCGCAAGCCACCTCCCTGCTCGCTTGCGCCGCCGCATGCTGTGTCAGGCACGGTTTCTCCATGCTCGCTCCCTCTACCGTGCTTGGGCAGATCCCTGTTCGCGCCACGTCACTGGCTAGCCAGCCAGCTGCCCGTGTTGTGCCATGCTGCCGCCGCTAGTGGATTTGCTGGGTGTCTAGCAGCCTAGGTTAGGGCTGGGGTGTGGATGGGGATGGAAACAGGAAGTGGAGTGGAGATACATAAAGAGGTATAATATTTACTTGATATGCTGACATTTGAAAAGCTAGACAGGGTTTTAATGAGCTTAAAATAAGAACAAAAATTCTCACTAGCTAAAGTGTACATTGACAAGAGATATTGTAGACCATATTGCTATATTTTAGATTAAAAAACCTCTACTATTTGAGGTAATCAACGATCTTTTCAGCTTGAATTATGTTGCTCACTAACTGAAGGGTTCTTTGAACAAGATGCAAATGTCCTGGTTAATGAGAGCAGACGTGCAAACTCATTGCAGAAATGACATTATAAAACATAAAGCACACCTGTCAATATTTTGGGGTGGGAGTGTTAAAACGACGTCTAAAAATCTCAATGGGGGTGGGAGTGATAAAAAAGATAAATAAGCAATTAAGTCTATGGTTTTGATTAACTTGGTAGATAAAAAGATATAATATTTTTTAGATAGGGGAAAGAAAATCTGACTTCATCCGCTAAACAGAGTAAAAATCAAATTAACTTATTACAAACTCACACCACACGTCTACTTGAGCTTACAATGTAAACATGACTCAGAACTCAATTCCAGAAACAAAAGGCCATCCATAAAGATGCGAAGAACCACATAGCTGTAGTCCCCATTTTGCGACATGCCTCCAACACATGCTCCTTCTCTAGCTTACACGTTGCAACAATGCATTCCCCTAAATAGTTCCCGCAAAAAGAGTTTTGCCAGATAGACTAACAAATCACTATTGCACCTGTTAGGAAAAAAAAGATCTAAATGCTTTATCTTTCCTAGGATATACCAGTCATCAAATAATAAGGTATGAACATTTAATGGAGGTAGACGATGATTTCTCGACTATTAAAGAAACAACAAGTTGTACCTTGATCTTTTCTAATTCTTTTTAAATAAATTATCTTTTGTGAGAATGATCCTCTTTAAAGAACCAAAAAACATTTTATTTTTAGAGATGTCTTTAGTCGTCAAACTATTCGTGAAACTTTGATCTTTATTGACAAGGAATTTATACATAGAGTTTTAATAGTTGACTGTTTCTCCAGCTGTGAGTCAAATTTCTCCCATATTTGTGCTCGTTGAGTTGAAATTAGAGTAGCACACTTCATAACAAACTTGCTTCAAGAAATATAATCACAAACGGCTACGGCCTCAGATGATTATGTAACATACATATGCCGCCCATAGCATTTTTATTTTATTTTTTCAGAGACTGAGAGCGCGCTGCCGCCCATAGCCATCAACAGGAAGTTAGGAAGCTAAAAATAGGGAAAGTTTGTTTCTGCACTCTAAGAGTAGATAAACCATCGTGACTTTATTAAACATTTTTTGGAGAATCTCAGTGGCAACGTCATGATAGTGTCTGGTCAGAAGTTCATGCTAAAGATTATCATAGCTACACCATCACAAAGAGGCAATGGCTAGGCCATCTCCGTCATCGTACCTGCTCTTCTTATTGTCTACGTTTGTTTTTTGTTTTGATTCTTGCCATTACAAAGATCATGCTTTTCTAAGTTATATCACTACAGTTATCATATAGAAACACCGTGAGGAAGAGGGCACCATGCCAGCGGGTGCCCACGCAAGCCATCCAAGCACCGTGTAAAACAACCAGCACCTACAAGCAAGCTTTCATTACCGCAGCTCTCCTCTCCAACACCACCTCCTAGCAACCACACCTCAACCAGAGACGCGTGCTGCTCCTACTTGGAGGCAGCACGCGGTGACACAGCACCAGCGGCAATGGCGGCGTACCCCGGCGATCCCAGGGCGCGTCCTGATGGCGAGCAGGTGTTCATCACCGCCATGGGGGGCATCAAGAGGCGCAGGGATGCGCTGGTCGGCAAGGCGGCAGTGTGCTGGCTCCAAGGGAATAGCCACGACACGGAGCCATACCACGTCGGTGACGCCCTCAGGTCCAAGCTTGGCCTGGGCTTTGAGGACTTCCAGGTAGTCAAGCACTACCCAGAGCAGTATTTGGTCATCTTCTCTGAGGAGCGTTTCAGGCAGAGGGCGACTCGGCAGCACAGCATCGAGGATGGTGGAAGGGTCTTCAACTTCGCTACTTGGAATGAAGCCAGGGAAGCAGAGGATGCGCAACTCGAGTTCCGCGTCAACATCCGCATCGAGGGCATCCCACCTCATGCCTGGGGGGAGGATGTGGCTGCCCTGATCCTGGGGCGATCATGCGCCATCCACTACGTTGAAGAGCACACTCGGCGCCGGGAGAGGACAAGGACGTACGATGTGTGGGCCTGGTGCGCAGACCCGAATAAGATCCCGAAGATGATGTGGCTGACCATCACCGACCCGGATGCTGAGCAGCCACCCGTGGACACCCCTCGCATCTACGTGCAGGTCCACCACGAGCCGCCAACCGGGCTCAAGCATGCCCTGTCCTACAAGGTCTTCCCCCACCTGGTGGTGGTCGAGGATCTGTCCTTCATCAATGGGGATGGTGGACAGGGAGCCCCCCCAAACCGTAAGAGGCGCAGGGAGTTTCTCTGGAGGTATGGTGAGCCAGACTCCCTGGGAGAGGCCTGGGGATGCTATGGCGGAGACCGTGGGCGCCAAGAGCATCGCAACCACAGAAGGGATGAGGACCACGACGGCCGTGGTGGCAACAACCGCCGACACAGAAGCGTCTCAGCCTGGGGCCATGTCACTCGCTGCCGCAATGGAGTTGCGGACTGCTACAACACCAACTTCCGTGGGCCTGCGCCGCGCGGAGG